ACAGGGTTATTGCAGTGACCGGTTCCCTTACAAGGCCACTTTTTAGTTATTAGTACCCCTCTACATACCCAACAATTGGTGACACCTAATATCCGAGTGATATTTTCAGCCAAATTTATAAACAGATTTTGCCCTACTTTCCACGATTGAGGGCAGGGGGTTAGTTTTGACTGTTGGGCAGTCGGAGGAACTACTAACTGTACAGTTTCTTTAATTAGCTTTTTAGCTTTGGGTGAGGGAGCAAAATCCCAACAAACCCAATTCGTGCTTCCAGGGGTGTTACAAGCTATGACACCAGCTTTAGTGTACTGGTAGTTTTGTTTTGATAATCTAGCAAAGTATAGCTGGCTATTATGGGTGCAGATATGTTTATCAGTATAACAAACTTCTGGCTGGGATGAATAACGATGGAAAACCTTTAAGCGTGGCCGGATAGTTTCTATACATTTACATGCTGGGTATACGGGGGGAAGTGGTAGATACCCAGATTAGGTAGAAATGCATGAAAGCACAAGTAAACTTCCTATCGTAAGAAAGGATGGAAATGCTAGTGAAACCCTTTTCTAACATGATCAATGGGGACAACTGTTAATTTTACAACAAATAAAGTTACAAATGGTTTAGCAAGTATAAAGGTTAACAAAGCAAACCAAAGGCTTATCAGTAATGTCCACTGAGTCCTTAAGCCGAATCCTTAATTTTCTGCCGTGCATGGATCAATCAGCTTCCAGAGTGTGATTGAAGCAGGGCCTGAAGTATCCTCACGCTTCTGGAGCAGGGCTGGATAAATTAGTTCCATGTCCTTCGTTGGGTTTCGTGACTTTCCGAATGGTCAGCTTAAGGGGTGTTCTCCCTTAAGCTGAATCTGCAGTGCACTCCCAGTTCTGGAAGTTCTGTTATGTAAAAGAACAGTAAATGGCCCACTCCAGAGGGGCTTTAGAGATTATACATTTTACTCTTTTACTCATACCATATCACCTGGCTTAAAAGAATGAGCATCAGTAGTTAAACTAATTGGCAATCGTTCTCTGACTTGCCAATGGATGGCTTTTAGGACTGAACCTAAGGCCTGCATTTGCTGTTTTAGGATAAGACTTTCTAATTCCTTTAAGTCTCCCTGTATGCCCTTAGCAAAAGGCCTACCATTAAATAATATTAAAGGTTTAACAAACTCCATTTCAGGGACTTGGATCCTGAGTGATGAAATACCAAATACCTATGTTTAGTTTACTTATGTCTCCAAAGGATTTCTAGTGATTATTGTGCTAACCCGCAAATTGAAATTATACTGTCCTAGTCTTACATTTGATGGAATTTTCCCTGGATTTGCCAAGGGGTGGGACAGGTTGCCACTCGGCCTGCAGTAGAAACGTTTGAACACCTTTCAAAACCTACCTATAGGAAATTTATTTATGTCTAACCTGTGCTAGCTACCCTGCCTCAATTATTTATTCTTTGGAGATTTTTCAATCCCATAATCATTTGGGGTGCTGAGGGGTGAAGGTCCATCTTCTGTAATTTCTTCAGAGCTGATAATGGGCGCAGTCCTGCCTAGCCAGAGATTGAAAATCTCTCCCTGTCTGACTTAAGGCATTTAGCAGTGGCATTATTTGCAGGCACTAACTGGAATTTTTGCATGACCATTATGTGGGCATGAAATTACTGGATTCTAGCTTAATAAAAGAAATAAAGTCAGGCCTACATTTTGACCATTGCAGGCAGTAGCTGATTACCTTTTTATACAAAAGCTACAAGGTCTGAAGTTATTAGCATAACTTAAATGATAAACTTTAATTTCTGTAGCTTTATTACAAGTACCAGCTTTTGTATTTCTGGACTATAATGGTAGCCTGACAGATTGTTTTAGACTATAATTTGAACTAGGCACTTAAATAAATTCTATATAAAATTTGAAGAGAAATCCGAAAGTGATTGGAGACTTGCATTCAGAAAAGACTTTATTATGCCTAGATTGTTTATAGAATTTTTTTTGTATGTATATATATATATATTTTTAAACTTTCTTTATACCATTTTTGGTGTGCTTATACCATTTTATTTTTGTTTTCTACCCCCTTTAAAAAATTTTTTTCATAACTATCTACTTTATTATAGAACAGAAATGTACCATATAAGATTTCCTCTTAGATAAATATATATATATTTTTTATATTCCTTTCTCTTTTTTTTTTGTTTTCCTGCTAAAACTTTATTGTATACTAACAACCTTTTTACATTTTTCCTTTGCTTTTTGCTTTTCTTTTTATTTATTTATAGATAACCTTTTATAGTCATAATTTGAATTCATCTTTTAGTAACAGGTGAAACATTCAGTTTTTGGAACACCTTTAATTCCACTGGAGAGCAGGTTTTAGGAGGAAGAAGTTCAGTATGAGCAGAAGGGCTAAAAACTTAACCTCAGTATTAATTAAGAAATTAATTTGGACCCCAGCCACATTTATATAGACCCAAGGATTCTCTGGGTGGATGGCATACAGAGTGTTGTGCTGGGCCGTGCCTCTCCCCCTTCAGACAACAGCCACTATCGCCGAGCTAGGTGTTCCCCCCACTTCGGGAGAGGATGCACCATCTCTTTCAGTGACTTTTTAGTCCAGATATTGGACAAAGTTCTGGGGGCTTAGGCTATTAAGAACAATTGTGCTTCAGGTGCCTATATTGACCACATTCATAGCAGCTGATACCATATCCTTAGCAGGTTTATCCTTATCAGTCCTCTTTTGGGTGGCTGAAGTGTTTGCCTTTAGTGGCAACTGCCAATTTGTTTACCTTTCCTCTGGCTGGTGCTCATTTTGGAGTTCTTCTCCTTTTTTTTTTTTTTTTTTGCTTCATGACTTTTCCAATGGTGTTTACAAAAATGGCCTGGTTCAAAACCCTTTAGAGTGAACAGACTACAAAGATGTAAAATGATCTGTTCCTACATATTCCTAATTATGAACAGGCAAAATTGTTAAAAATCCTCATGAATTACTAAACAGCACCCTTAGTTGTAAGACATGGACAATTAAATGAGCATAGCCAAAAAAACGCAAGCATTAGTGTTACTTAGTATTACAATATAATATAGGGACTCAGCATACATTACAAGACTCTGAGAAACTTCCCAACAGTTTTACAGGGACAAGTAGTTGATTACAATTTTAGGCAAGGCCTAAACCTTGAGGAACGGACTTACTTTTAACTAACCTGGCTTTTGGTATTTGAAAATGAGAACAGCCTATTCATTTCCTTAGTTGCCAGAGAAAGATTAGTTCCAAGGCTAGCATTAACTTACACTGAGTTAACAAAAGGCTAGGTAGCATATAAGAGACATTTCTCTGTTTCTTTATAGGTGGATTAGAATGTGCCCCTTCAGAATTTACAAAGGAGAACACAGGCTAAGGAAGGGAGGGGGAGTGGTCCCCGGAAAGAATTTAAGATAACCAGTAACACTCCTTATACACAACAGGCAATTTTCCACAACCTTAACAACAAAAGGCAGAAATTTTAACAGTGCCAACGGGTTAGGAGAAAACACCACACAAATAAAGGGAGACATAAAATGATATCAAGAAATTTGCACCAACCAAGTTTTTAAAAGATGACGCCCCATCACACAAGGCATAATAACTCAACCAGCCTTTTAGCATATTTAAAGTGACAGACACACACAAATAAGAAAATCACAGGTATGAGAAATATCCGCTTTGTCTCCCTTCAGTTATACTCCTCACGAAGATATCTCAGACACCTCTTAGCAATTGGTAGGTTGGTACACCCCCAACGCAGACTAACTATGTGGAACCTTCCCGCCGTCCATCTCATTCACACATAAACACACAGCACATTCGCCAACTCGTCGTCCTAATCCTAGGAGTCTACGGGTTCATCTTCAGACAGTGTTTCCTTCCACTGCCTTTCAGCCCTTTCCTTCAGGCTGGAAGATTACTAGTGGGCTCTGGGAGGTGATCAAGCTCCCCTTCTGCCATCCATTGGCAGGTCTATGCAAAGGCCTTTATTCCTACCCTTTCCATCAGGTGGTCCTTCCGTCCTTTCCGTCAGGTGGTCGTCCTTGTGCCAGTTCCTTGCCTCTTGGGTTCCTGTTGTGCTTTCGTGGTCCGAGCTTCAGTGCGCCGGGAGGGGCCTCCCTCCTACGGATCAAAAGGTCCGTTGCGCGCCAGGTGAGATTGCCCTTCCCGTTGCCCTGGAGGTGGCACCTCGATGACAAAGGAGGTGGAACACACCGTCTCCAATCTCCATTTCCCGGCTGACGCACCAGAAATGTAGCAGGAAAAATAGAGAGATCGTGACACCAAGACTATTATAGGAAGTGGCACTTTATTATGCTGGCTAGCACAGCACAGCGGCCCGAGAATTTATACCCTCGTTTAGGTAGGAGAGGGGGGTCGTGTTGAGTGATTGCGTACTTCCTTTGGAATCTTACAAGGTTGTACTTAGCAAAATCAGATTTTTCAAAGAACAAATGGTTTCCAGGAACTGCAGGCTTGTAAACTGTCAACTTCAGAAGGGGGGTTTTAGATAAGACTCTTTTTCATTTCCATGAAATAGCCAGTCTCTGGGCCATTTGGCCTTTCTTAAACAAAACCTGCCTAACACCGGGCAGGCCTTTACAGTTGCAACTTGCCTTTCAAAGGGAAATACCTTTAACTGCTATTAACCTTTCCTTCTTGCCACTGGGCTAGTGGCGGCCCAGGTGAGGCCAACTGCTGATCCTGAATCAGTCACATGTGTTTCTGTGTTTATTCACTCAATCACACAAGAAATACATTTGAGCATATGCTGCCTCCTGCCACAGCAGGGCATGGTCATCGGCTCGCTCAGGAAGCCCCGGCAGCCCAGGCAGCTGAGGATGCCACCGGCGCCCGCACCCACAGCCGCAGCGGGGGCTGCGCTCTAGCCCAGCCCGGGGCGGAGTCGGTAGTTGAACACCAGGTAGTCCACCAGGGTGCCGAGGCACTCGGGCCTGGCTGGGGCCCCGCGGCAGCGCCTCTGGTGCTGCCTTCAGGTGGCCGTCCAGTGCCAGCAGCTCACCGCGGCAGAGCAGCAGCTCCCAGCGCTCTGACTCCGCGGCCGCGCAGTCCAACTGGTCACCGCCCGCTTCCCAGAGCCGGCCTCAGCCCCGCGGCGTGGGCGCCGTTTCCCGACTCCCTCCAGGGGAGGTCCTCGCCATGGCCCGAGACGTTATGGCCCGCGGAGGGCTGCTCTGCTGCCACCGCCTGCCGCCACGGTCTGGAGGGTCTGGAGCCTCTGGGACGTGCGGCTCCACACGTGGGCTGCGAGCAGGGGGGGAGGGGTGGCACTGGCGGGGCTGAAAGTTTAGAGGGAGCTGACTGGTATGGGGGGAAAATTATCTCTTCCAAGTTAGAATCAGGGAGAACGGCGTAAAAGGGGTTCTTTGGGGACTTATGGAAGGGATTCTGCTTCTCGCGAGGCTGTGACGACACACTCTCGACCTGCAAGAGAACACTTGTTAGAAAGGTCCCTTCCCGTGGCCAGCCTACGTTGAAGGCGGGTCACTCAGTGGCGCACAAATCCCAGAATTTCTTTTTGTGAATTTCAACACTCAAATTGTGTGCCCTTTCCTTTAGTTCTGAAAAGTAATCAGTCATGAGAGTTAACGGCACTGTCTGTGTCTGTCCCATCCCATTCGTCAGTACTGTCGTCCCAACAAACACAACCAACAAGACAAAAGGGAAAACGACAAGAGACAGACAGTAGTGGCCGCGAAAACAAATCTGAAAGTACGATAGGGGAGAGACAGACCATCGACGAGTCTGACCTTCCCCACAGATGAAGACCTCGTCTTCCGGATGGGGACGTGAGACATCTCCCATGAACCCCGGCCGGCAGCTTTCCAGTGCATCCGCCTCACCTGATGCCGACCTCAGAACAAAGTGTGGAGCTCCACCTGAGACACAGAACACAGATGAGCTGACCCGGGAGCAACTTACCGAATGCCGACCTGAAAAGCCTCCGGACTGGGGTCTCGGGGTCTCTGGGATCCTGGGAGAGCCCCTAAATGTAGTGGCCAAAAGTTCAATCCAAGAGACCACCAAGAGCCAATTCCGATGAAAGTTCAAGAGGGTCTTTATTTGCAAGCTCGAGCCTGGACCTCTGTCAACCACCGACGTCGCAGAGTACACCCAGAGGTCCTGACTTTCTTAAGCAGATATCTTTTATGCTTTTACACAAAGGGAGGAGGAGTCTGGGGGACTTTTGTTGCCATTTAATTGGGTAGTAACCTCTGGTGGCCAGCTTAATCGTGGAGGATTGGCTAGCCTGACTCAGATGTCTCTGCAACTTCCTTGGTCCACTAGCTAGGGAAGTTGCAGAGACATCTGGAAACGTAGGTGGTTAACCCCTGGCACCTGATTGGTTGTTGCTAAGGGGAAAGTGAGATGGGAAGGGGTTGAAGCTTGTAACCGGAGCTTTGCAGTTTTTTCCGTAACTGAAACTTTAAACAGCTACAGGTTATGTTTTAAAGCAGAAAATTAAAAGTGGCTGTGCTATTGTCCACAAGCTGATTACATATTTATTGGGTTATAGCATGCTCTTAACCTAAGTCTATGGTATACTTTATTACGGCCCTCTCAACATGACTGAGTTATGCAAATACCTGGATCACAAGAGGAGGGTTCTGAAACCACAAAGGGGAGCCAGATTAATAACAATAAACAGTGGCTATACATCCTGTCCAGAAGAGGTAAAAGAACACCAATAGAAGCCGTTCAGCTGGCTGGAGTGACCTCTGCCAAATCTATGACAAAAACTAAGGCAAGAACTAGAGCAACAGGCACTGGCAAGAGATGACAATGCATTACAATAGGAAAGTCACCATATATGCAAAACAGTCTGTTTGTTTGTCAGATGGCTGTGTAGATTAGTTAGCTTCTGGAGTGACTAAAGCAGGGCTATTGTCCTCTAGGGTCCTGGGGCTGCAGCTTGTTTTCTCCAGATGGTCAGCTTTCCACATGTTGATGGGTCGGAAGTGCATTCCTAGTTTTGACAAGTTGGCTTGATCCTGCTGTGATGAATCCAAGGGTCCACCTTGGCTACCTTTATTGCAGTGGGGGGTGGGTAAAATGACAGTGAATGGACCTCTCCAAAGGGGCTGGATATTCCATTCCTTTACCCATACAGCATTTTCTGATTTAAAGGGGTGAGCGTCTGTGGTTAAGCTTATGGGTAACTGCTCCCTAACCCATTGATGTATAGTGGTTAGGATCAAGCCTAAAGCCTGCATTTGCAGTCTTAGGGTAAGGTTGCTTACTTCCTT